ATAGATAAATATTAGAAATCTTTCATTTTTTGTCCTCCCAAATATTGCAATAAAAAAGGTAAAAAAGAAATAAATGATCGATGATTAAACTGAATCAATACTGATGGAGTGCGTCAAGAAGGGATGGGGTGATGGAGTGTGGAGGATGGAGGGATGGGGGATGGCACCGTGGGGTGTTCCTCTCTCCCCTTATCCAGTGTTGTGATTAGAAGCTGAGGTAATGTATGACATGAGGTCTGGGAGTGCAATGCTGTTGCTGGGGGCAGGGGGCTGAGTGCCTGAGCCCACGGGGTCTGCTCTGCTGCAGACCACCCAGCGCCCCCCGCCTACCTGTCCAGGGCGCTCCTGCGGATCCGCTCGCCCTCTCTCTGCAGCTGCCGCGTGTGATGCTGGATTTTCTTCTCCCAGAACACCTTCAGCTCCTCTGCGTCAGAGACCACCCGTCCTGGGTGCTTTGAAGTGTAGCTTTTACTCATTTCCTGGAAGAGGGAACATTTACAAGACCCAACAGTTTTGTGCTGTGTTCTGAGCACAGGGGAGCCAGGAGAGCCGGCAGGCGAACAATAAAGATGCAGGCTCGGCCCCACACGTCGGCCTGTGCCTGGCACGCTAGCCCCTCAGTTGTACATTTGATAGAACGTGGTCAAGCGAGGCTCACTGACGTTCACGTCCCCCCGTTCTTTTGCACTGAAATGACCCGAGATGAGGACATCAGTGGTCTCAGAACACAAACCCGGAACCTGCAAGACCGTCTGTACCATCTGTACCGCAGGAACTGCTCTGACAGCTGCTCTGCAGAGAGCGCACCCCTTAACGCCGCATCGGGAGCCCGCGGGCAGGCTGTCCCCATCACCTGCCCCGTTGTGCGCCTGCCCGGCCTGGCCCCAGGCCTGTGGACACCCACCCTGTGCTCCTGGAGGAGGTGATGGGAGGCCCTGGTTGTCCGAGGGAAGGAGGTGCCTGTTGTCTGCAGCTGCCTGAGCCCTGCCCTGGGCGTGAACTCCGACCTCAGGGCTCAGGGGGAAGACAGGGCGCCTTCCCTGCTGCTCTCGGGACTGCGCTTTACCGCTGCCTGCTGTCCAATGGGAAGTGTGGGCCGTTTCCCAGTTGGGGGCCATCGCCCTGTTGGGGGGCACAGGAAGGTTCGGACCGGCTCAGGCCACGCTGGGTGATGTCAAGCCGGTGTTGCGGTGGCTGTGATTGTCAGCCCTGGACACAGGCGCGTGGCCAGGTGCGGGCCCCTCCCGCCCTCCCAGCCCTCCCAGCCCTCCCAGACCTGCTCTTTCCCAGGAGGCGCTGAGCACACACATCTGCGCTGAGTGAAGCTGCCGGCGAATTAAAGGAAGGAAACCGGCTGAGATGGTGCTGACTGTGGGCTTTGCTCTGCGGCTGGCAGGGCGGGGGCGGGGGGTGCTCTCGGGCCCACTCCAGAATCTGGGCAGGAACCGCCCCCCCCCCACGCCCCCAGAGAAATGGGTTCATTGAAACCGAGTGGAAAGAAGCCGAGACCAGCTGCTCCTGGCTCAGCCCCTGAGCAGCCCCAGACCTTCTCAGGTGAGAAACCACAGGTCAGGGGCCCGGAGAGCCAGGAGGGCACAGCGAGGAGACACCTGGAGGCAGGTGAGCCGTGGACAGGTGAGCACCAGCGGCTTCTCCGCCGGGGCATTCGCATCACCAACCCGAGAGGGAAAAGCTATAAGCAAAGTGGAATTCCCCTCAGACAGAGCTTACGTTTCAGTCGCTTCTCACCCAAACCGGAGACCTCCTGGGCAGCAGGCGCTCTCGGTGCCGTCCCCGTCCCCGTCCCCGGCGCGTGCCTAGGTGCCTCCGGGCGCTTCCTCTTATATGAGTTTGGTGGCCGGTCTTGGCGTCAGCTCGGTGCCGGAAAGGCGACCTGCCTTCAGTCTGGCCGCGGCCCCTGGAGACCATCTGGCTCCCGCACGCACTCACTGGTGGGCACGCGTCCTCCGCTCCTCGCCCGGGAGCCGGAGGGCAGCTCGGCGACTCTCTCTGCCAGACTGCCGGCAGGGACAAGAGCGCTCCTCTCTCTCTCTCTCTCTCTCTCTCTTTTAAAAATAGGTTTTTATTGATGCTTTAGAGAGAGGAAGGGAGAGGGATAGAGACATAGAAACATCAGTGATGAGGGAAACATCATCGGTCGGCTGCCTCCTTCTGGGGATCGAGCCCACAGCCCGGGCATGTGCCCGATGGGAATCGAACATCAAACCCTGGGTTGACGCTCAACCACTGAGCCACACCGGCCGGGCAAGAACGCCTTCTCTCGATGGCGAATCCCAAGAAGCCTCATAGATTGAGGTTTTTAAAAAAGCAGCCGGTGTCCGAGCCCCTTGATGTTAGTATGTAGCGGAGGGTTGTCTGAAGGGATGGTCTGTGAAGAATACAGTGGTTATGCTTCTGGGAAGGCAGCGCAACTGCAAGTAGCTGTTTTCTTATTTTAAGACTATTGTGAAGTGTTATGCTGAGTGTGTGCTACTTGTAGAACCTGGAAACCAGAGCTAAGGAGGGAGTTTGGGAGAACGCCTTTGGCCCCTCAGGCGACGCTTTAACTCTGCATGTCCCCTGAGCTTCCCAACTCCCGCGAACGGATCAGGAGCACCACCGGCACCGAAGAAACCTAGTCTGTCACTCCGAATAGACTTCCCCCCCAGCCCCCAAATCGAATAAGGCAGCCAAGGTCGAGTGTCTGCAGAGCTGAAAACTGGACCCCTCACCTCCTCTGCCCGGGCTCCCAGGGTCGCAGCTGGGATCCTGACTGGCTCCTGTCCTCTGTCTGCCGTGTGCCCGCCTCCTGCCACCCACACACGGCGCGCCCGGGCCCCTACCTCGGTGTCTTCCTCGGTGTCCGGACGTGGTCCTGATGTCCAGGGGAGACAGTGCCCCGACAGTCGCTGCCGCTGCATGTGCAGCACAGACTCCTGGGACAGGGTGCACACCTGCCAATCCCGCCATCGGGGTGGGGGCAGTGTGGTCTGGACCAGGGATGGAGGCCACCGGGGGCTTGTCCAGGAGATGGAGATGCACAGAACGTGGGTAGAACCCCACCCGTCTGGCAAACAAGATGCAGAAGCCAGCACAGCGCGTCTCCCGCACCTGCAGACGCACAGCCCGCGTCCTGAGGAGGGCGTTGGCGCTGGTCTCCGCGGGCTGGCCCACAGCCCAGGGACAGGGACCCTCCCCTCGGCATCGGGGAGGGGCAGGCGATCCCGTGCTAATGTATTTGTAAACCAGGTGATACTGTGACTGGTGAGCAGCCACAACAATGACTGTTTTGTTTAGAAGGGTCCCTAACACATGTCCCCACACCTCGAGGTTGGAGGGTGCTCTGTGGAGAGCAGCCTTGAGGAGCGTGTGGCCCTGTGGGTGGCGGCAGCTTTCTGAGCAAGGACGACTGGTGGGAGACCAGGAAGCTGCTCTGCACTCAGGTCCCCTCAAGAGCAGCTGGTTCCCCTTTAAACCAGAGAACCGGCACCTCCACAGCCCCTGGGCAGTAACCCCCCAACAGGGGACCCAGGACACTAACTGGCCTTCAGGTGTGGGGAGGCCCGAGTGGCCCCTGAGGCTGTGGCCCAGGCTCCCCCTCCTCCCCATGCTGTGCTCAGGGGCTCCCAGGCGGGCCCCCGGGTTTCCGTGGCCCTGTCTCCCGGGGACCTGTGGTCCGTGTGCCAGAGGCTGACATCTCCCCGTGCACATTGCCCTGCACAGTGCGCTGGCCGCCCCTTGTCACCATCAGAGCCTCCCTGGGTGAAGCACTCTGGTTCTTGCTGACATAATTCAGAGAAACCAGCAAAAACGGAGTCTCAAAGAACAGCTCCTTGGACAGTGGGCGGGGGGGCGGGGGTGTCATGAACAGACAGACGGTCTGCCCTGGAGGTGCCGCTACTGCAGGAAGTCTGTGGTTTCCTGCAGGGACCCGGGCCCTGCTCAGGTCTTCCCGACATGCTCGGCGAGGTCCTGCTTGGCCATCCCTTGTCCCTCTCTCAGACCCCAGCCCAGCCCTCCCCCCCCAGAACTTGTCCCACTGGAATGCCGCTCCAGGGGCAGGGGGTCACTACTGTGGGCTTGGGCTGCGACCCTCTGTGGCAGGAGCCAGCGTGTGACTGGGCTTCTGCTATCACCGCCTTCAGTCCCTCCCCAGCCCTCCCCTCTGGTCCCGGTGTGACTGGCTGACTGTCCCATGGGGAGGAGCTCTCACCTGTTCACAGGAACTGGGGAGGGGCTGTGCCCAGGTACGGGGTGTCGGGCTGGCGGGTGCAGGTCTCTCAGCTCCAGGCTGCCATGGGAGCCTGTGGTGTGTGATGACAGTGCCCATGTGTCCCCTCAGATCCTGTGGCAGAGCAGGGCCCCCCCAGGGCAAGAGCAGGAGTGAGCAGGAGCGTGTGGCCCCCCAGGCGGTGCCCGCCTCCCCGTGCACCTTTGTGCGTTTGTTGTTGTTGTTTTATAAATATATTCTTATTGATTTCAGAGAGGAAGGGAGAGGGAGAGAGAGATAGAAACATCAATGATGAGAGAGAATCATCCATCGGCTGCCTCCTGCACACCCCCCACGGGGACTGAGCCGGCAACCTGGGCATGTGCTCTGACCAGGAATCAAACCGTGACCTCCTGGTTCATAGGTCAGTGCTCAACCACCGAGCCACACCAGCGGGGCCCTTTGTGCGTTTTAGAGAGCTTAGGGGTGACCTCCTGGAGCTTGGCTGGGCTGCAGTGTCCCCTGGGAGCCCCAGGTGCACCCTGTCCCCTCTTCCCTCCACACACCCCTGTGGGCCGGCCATCCCACCATGGAGGGGGTTACCGTGTGGTCCCCACCATCTCCTCTGGCCCTCTCTGGGAAAGGATGGCGACCTGCAGCATCTTAGAGTGGAGCTCCCATCCCCCTCGGGGCAACGCTCCGGACCTTTAGCCCCTGAGGACCCTCTGGGAGGGGGAGCACAGGGGCGGGGGCACAGCCTGCAGAGCCCGCGAGGCCACCGCAGAGGCCGCGGAGGCAGCTTTCGCCAGCTCGTGAGCAGGCCAGCTGCACAGACGGGTGGGACCTCTGCACCCACGTCCCTGCCCAGTGGCCACCACGGGGCCTGGCAGGATGTCTGTTTTCTGCACAGTCACGCTCTCGTGTGCTGTGCGCTCGGGCGAGCCCTCCCGGGGCCGGCACTGGCCACCGTCACCCACAGGCTCACCCTGAGCCCAGCCCTGGTTCACAGGGGAGCCTCCGGGTCCTTCCCTGGTGACAGGTGAGGAGCCCGGGTGAGGAGCAGGTGTGGAATGTATAGCACGTGGCTGTTTGTACATTTGCATCGAGAATTCTGTGACCGACTTTCTAAAACAGCCGTGGGCAAACTACGGCCTGTGGGCCGGATCCGGCCCGTTTGAAATGAATAAAACTAAAAAAAAAAAAAAAAAAAAAAGACCGTACCCTTTTATGTAATGATGTTTACTTTGAATTTATATTAGTTCACACACACACTCCATCCATGCTTTTGTTCCGGCCCTCCGGTCCAGTTTAAGAACCCATTGTGGCCCTCGAGTCAAAAAGTTTGCCCACCCCTGGTCTAAAACCTTGGACGGCAGTCACCTCCGGGGAGTGGAGGCCAGGAGTCGGGGCGGGTGGGAGGCAGGAGACTTTTCATTGTACACGTACTGGCACAAACTTGTTTAAACGGGTATATGCGTTATTTTCTTGTGATAAGAATAACCTAAGAGCTGGGGAATCCCTGAACAAAATGATGCCTTTGGGAATGGGACTGTACTATATGAGTTTTAGAATATGCTAAGAAGCATAAGGAGAATGTATCCACAGCTCATCTTGACATTCGACCACCAAATGTGCGCTTTCCTCATTTCTCTCTGGGTCTCTCTTCTTCCATTTGCCATCCCCCCCCCCAGGAGAAAAGACACGTTGTTTCCATCTTATTTCCCAGTAACTCAGCATGTCTGCCCTGCTACTCTCAACTCTTCCTAGATGCTCAAACCTGCACAGTGTCTGACGTGTGCACGCTTTAGGGTTCACCTCACATGATTGGGTATTTAGACTGATTCCAATTTCTCGCCCCTATTTTTAACTCTGCAATGAATTTGTACTCAGTCCTCTTCTTGTATTCCAGGCTATTGACTTATCTGGTAGCGCGTCCTACAGGTGGAATTCAGCTCCGCGGGTGGAGATATTTTTAAGGCTCTGTGCACCGTGCCAGTTGCTCTATTAGTCCCTGTGGGGACGCCAGCGGGGAGGAGGGGCCAGAGGGAGTGACTGTGCTTTAACCTGAGAGGAATAAATTGGGATAAGTTGTTAAGACAGTGACTATTATCTTCTGTCCACCTGAAGATTTTTTGAAAAATAGAGTAACATAAAAATATGGTTTGCTTGATTTAAAGGAATAGAGTGACGGGGAGGCAGCAGGCCCCTGGCTTGAGGTCCTGGACCTGGCGTGTGTCTGGCTGCAAGGACCTCTGCATGATGCAGGACTATTGTTAAAGCCCGGGGTCCCGTTCGGATGTGCCACTAGCCTCGTCAACAGGCACCCGTTGGGCCCTCACTGACCCCGGCCTCCAAGGAGCTCTGTCCCTCATCTGTCTGACCCCAGATCACAGGCGGGGCTCCCGTGCTGAGGGCCCCCAGGCGAGTGCTGTAGGCTGGACCAGCTTCGCAGCCCAGGCAGGGTCATTGGCTCAAAAAGCGACCCTCCCTCCCCGAGGTGCTGCGTTCCTGCCGGCAACAGAGCACGGGCATCGTCTCCCTTTGCTCACCTTTGCTCATTTCATCTTAATTTTCTCATAGCTGCTGTAACCTGCTTGTCACCAAGGTCTTTTTAAATATATATATTTTTTATTCATTTCAGAGAGGAAGGGAAAGGGAGAGATAGAAACATCAGTGATGAGAGAGAATCATTGATCGGCTGCCTCT